AATAGCCTTCTCTAAAGTCCTTCTCTAAAGTCAATCACAGTATAGACAGACATCAAGAAACACAAAAAAAAGAAAATATTTTTATCTTATCATCCTATAGTACAATAAAAACAGAAATCGATAGCAGAAACAAACCACAAAAACAAACAACAAAAAAGTCACAGAAACAATAAAATGTTGGGAGATTAAACAATATGTTTTTGAGTGAACAATGGGTCATTGAAGAAATCTAGAAGTAAACAGACTCCCGAGATTAAATGAAAGTGCTCTCACAGTATATCAGAGCCTTTAGGACACAACTAAAGCAGTTTCAATAGAAATAACAGGGCCTTGGCAGTCCTAACACCATCCCCTCCATCTCCTGTTACCCCTCCCTGGCAGTCCTAACACCATCCCTCCATCTCCTGTTACCCCTCCTTCCTATAATCTCTTTCCTACCTTTGTATGTTTTGTTTCATTTTGTTTGTGTCCCTCTGGGTTTGACCAGGCCCAAAATGTTCTGGGATTTGAACTATTTATTGGCCTCTAATGGTACATCAGTGATTAGTACAACTGAAGTTAATGACTTCTCCCCTCCCAGAGTTCAATGGTGGCCTATAGTTTGGTAGAAAGGACTAGAGTCCCATGAGTCTCTTCCTCATCCATTACCGACTATTGAGAAGCCCTGTCTGGTACAGGCCCAGAGAAAGTAGTAACAGCTACCATAAGTTCGTGATTATATTTGCTGTGCCACGTCTAGATGAGATTTCATCGCCTTTCTCTCTATCTTCTGGCCCTTTCATTTTTCTCTCTCTCTCTTCTGCAGTGATCTGGAAGCCTTGGAGTGGGTAGTATAGATGATGTTTTTCAGTGATGACCTCATCTGTCATTTATTTTCAGTATTCTGGGTGGCTATGGGTCTCTGTATTTACCACCACTCAGACATATCAGTTTCTGTGATTAGGGTTCAAAGTACCTTTATCTTTGGCTTCCCAGGGATGTAACATGCTAATCCTGAGAACTTGAATTTAAAATATATTTACATAGATAGAAATACACATAGAGGCACATGTAACACATGGATACACACAAATTCACAACCACACATAGATTATCTGCATGCTTAGTGAAAGGAGGAGAGATCTAGAGGACTCTGTTCTCAGGTTGCTGCTCCATGTCTGTAATGTAAACGCATTCAGGCATTCAGAAGGTAGTTTGGCATGCTGCCTATTGAGTTAACTATTGGTAGTAATATCCCTTACAGGACTTATTCAAACTGGAACTGATCTGGGCACTTCTTCTATACTGACTAGCTTTCAAGTGCCTAGGGGAAAAACTGGCATCAGTGGACTTATCCATCAGTGTTAGAATATATTAGAAACCTTTCAGACAATATTTGCCCAGATACACAATAGTGGTACAGTGGTTATGGGGATAACCAATGACTTTGATTGGATTTAAAGTCTGCTTCCCAGAAACAGTCCTATGCTTGGTGCTATGAGCCTAGTCAAAAACTCATGCCTAGAAATTGTCCATATTTCTTTTTAAATTTATTATTTTTCTGTAATTATTATTAAATATACATACATACACATTATTAAATATACACACATATAAATATATGAATACAACCTGCTGAGTCCACTTAGCGTTGCTTATATGTTCATGTTTTTAGGGCTGGTTACTTGATATTGAATAACCAGTTATGGGACTCATCCCTGGGGAAGATTGCTTTTCCCTATCTCTAAGGTATTAAGGTTTTCTAAGCAGTCAATGACTGACAAAAATCAGTAGGAATCAAGGAATTATAATAAAAACATAAAATCTTAAGAATGTTACACACACTAATTTAGTTAGTTTTTAATTTAGTAAGATGTAAAAGCATAGCCTTTTTTTTCTATTACATACAGAGTTAGTTTACATAGACCTTGACCATCTTGGTTTATTGGAGTTATAACTCTTCTTCTTCCCATTATAAAAAAGGAAAGGTAGTAAAAAACAGTTCTGTATATGGATACAACTGTAACAAAAATAATCTCACATTTATCACTTGCATATTCCTAAAAAAACAAGACCATAGCAATAAAATAATTTTAATACATATTATTTAGAAATATTAACATAAAGTATTTCTGAGCTTTCATAATTCTTGTTACACTTGACTATTAGAAAAGCAAAATATAATTTAATTTCTTTCTAGAACTTTTTTTGGGAGAAAATCTTTATCAAAATTTATGTTATCAAAACAAAATTTTTATAACAATACAACTTTCTTTCTTCAATGAATGTTGTTTTAAAAAATATAAATGATTTTCAAGGCCCCTGAGAGAGCTCAGCATAGAAAAACACTTTCATGACACTTACCAGACTGAGTTCCATCCCTGGAGCCTACAGTGAAGCAGGAGAAAGCCAGCTCCTGAAAGTTATCCTACAACTTGCCATGTACACACACAACACACACACACACAGACACATACTCACACACACACTCACACACACATACAGTGAACAAACAAGCAAACAAACAAATAAAATGGATTGAAAAGGACATCATTTAAAAATAAAAATCCGTGATCCATTGCCTTAACCACTCGGTCACCTCACCCCACATCTCTGACTCTGCTGCCTGCTGTTGGATCCCCCTTACCCTAGCTGGACTGTTTGGTTGGGTCTTAGTGGGAGAGAATGCACTTAGTCCTGCTGAGACTTGATAACCCAGATCAGGGTGGTACCCAAAAGGGAGGGGGTACAGAGGTGGGGATTTGTAAGAGTAGGACTGGGAGGGATGCTGCAATTGGGATGAAAGTGAATAAATAAATGAATGAAAAAATGAAAATAAATAATCTACTGTATTTTATGAATGCAGTAGTTCATGTGTTTACTGTCTCTTAAAATACTCATTTTTAGAAAATCATCTTGTAATCATGTTGACAACATTTGGAATATAAATAAATAAAACAATTTTTAAAAATGAAAATCATTTTGTAAAAAACTGTAACTAGATTTTTTCCCTCAGCCTCAGTTCCCAGAATGAACATTTAAAAGCACCAAACCCAACCCATCCCACTGGGAAGAGAGCTGAAAGTCAACATTTTAATTAGTCACTATTTTAGTTACGTATGACTGGGGTACAGTCTACATAACCAGTTTTCTTCAGTTCAAAATTCTACAGTCAATTATTAAGTTCCTGCATTTTAGTTCATTTCTTTTTCAAAAGGATAAAGAAAGACAATAGCTCCTATACTTGGTTGAAATTCAAAAATCACAGCCCAAACATTCACATTTGCACACACATTTTAAAATAGGCATGGAAATCCACTTCTAGAGGACATCCAAACGCACATTTCAGAAGAAACGAGGTTTATAAATGAGCTTATTAGTACATGAAATGTTGGAATCTCTTTGAGAGCAACAAAGCTTTCATCAAATATTGGATGTGTCTTTACTCAGGCACTAAGGTGTCAGACACGGCCACACAAAACTCTCATTGAGTCAATGACTTTCAGGTTCTTGTCTTAAGAATTCAAAGAATGAAATTTATGGAGAGTGAGTTTTATAAATAAGTATTTTTATGGGAAGCTAAAAGAAAGAAAGAAGGCAGAGCCTCTGTGTAGCAAGAGTGGGTCTTGGGAGTGAGACACCATTGAGAATTACTGTCTCTGAGTTAACAAGGCTTTACTGAATGGTCACATTGTAAAGGGATGTCCTGGTCAGTCCGGTTTCCAGCCTAAGTGTCCAGATGCCTGTCAGTTTCAGTCACACCCTCATGTATGGTTTCTAAAAAAGGAGTACCAAAAAAAAAAAAGGCCCATTTTTGACTTCTGGTCAAGAAATTAGAATCTACCTCTGCCTTGCTTCCAGGGACTCTATAGAGAGCACAAGTCTAGACCTAGACTCTCCCACTCCTCTTTCTCCAATCTGGTTTTCCTAGTCAGGTTGTTGCTTGCCAGAGATAACCCCATCCTCTTGAGCCATCTTCCTTTCTTTGGGGCTATCTTAATGCTAGATCTACTTGATACCCACCAGAGTCTCTGTAGCCACATGTTCAGACCCAGGTATTCAATCTGGGCACTCCCTCCATGACTTCAGTAATTCTAGTCACCCAAGTCCCATGGCTCCTTGCCAGGGATAACACTCTTCTCCCAGCCTGCCCCATTCCCTCACCAGATTTCAGCCAAATTTCCATCAGGGACCCTTCGGCCATCACATGTAACCGAGTCCCACAGCCTTGCCAGATGCCTTACTGGAACTCTCCACTTGCTTTAGCGTGGCTTGAGAGCCAGGACAAGACAACATTGCTAGGAAAAACTTGTTCAAGACTCTTTAACCAAACTGCTGGAGACTTCAGACTCTAGCAAAGACAAAAGACATGGATAGAAGCTATGTCCCCAGATTGAAATCCCAGCCCTACTATAAATTATCCCCTCCTGAACATTGTCATTGCCCCCCCCCATGAAAAAAGAAAAATGACTGTAACAACAACAAAAATAAATAAACAAAAATCATGGGGCTGGAGAGATGGCTCAGCGTTTAAGAGCACTGACTGCTCTTCCAGAGGTCCTGAGTTCAATTCCCAGCAACAACATGCTGACTCACAGCCATTTGTAATGGGATCTGACGCTGTATCTGAAGATAGCAATTGCGACAGTGTACTCACATATATAAATAAATAAATCTTTTTTAAAATAATAAAAATCACAGATCGATCCCAGTTCATGACAGTGGGTCACTCCAATACACAAATAAACACTTTGTCCACTTTCACAAATAAACAATTAATCTGGGGACAAAACTAAGTAGATCAATTCTGAGATTACATAACATAATAATTCAAGTGGACTTAATATCTACAGAACATTCCATCTAAACACTAAAGAACCTGTTTTTTCTCATTAGCCTATGGAACTTTCTCCAAAACTGAGCACATATTAGGACACAAAGCAAGACTTAACAAATATAGGAAAATTGAAATCACATCATGCTTTCTATCTCACATCAATGGGATAATCTAGACATCAACAATAGAGATAAGAGGCTCTGCAGGTGTGGCTGCTGTGTCACATGTGCATCAATAGGTGGCAGAGAGGAGATCGGCTATGTCTAAGCTCAGCATTCTGACCTATGAACATCTGAATGATTAGTAGCCTAACATCCCTGAGAAAAGCAGGCCTGAGACAACCACCAGTCCGGTGCCAGGGAGGTTGGACATAAAGCTAGCCTGAGATGGCCACCAGTCTGGTGCCATGCAGGTCCAGACAGGCTCTCAGGACAGGGAGCAAGCTGGAGACTAAAAGAATGGCAGCCTGAGGAAGGAAGATACCTGAGGCAGACTACCCTTGCAAGAGACCACTTGGGCAGGCCAGGTGAGCCTGAGATGACCTTCGGACCAGCTCCATGGGGTCTAGACAGGGAACTAACCTGAGATGACTAGGCCCGGGAGGGAGGGGCAGACCATGCCCTAGATAACCCTTGCTTAGGGTCATAATGCACAATTGGGGCATAACACACCTGAGAGCACTCCTGAGATGATCCGAAACACTCAAAGACCTAGGGCACCACTTAGAGGACCAAGTAAGCTGTGGAGAAATTGAAGAGAAAGAGAAGCAGAAGGACGTGGGCAAAATGAAGAAAGGCAGAACTGGAGACTCAAAGGTAGTGAGAAGCAGCCTGACATGAGCAGTCAGTGTTGCTACCTGGGACCATGATGGGGTCCTGGCCTGTGTTGTCACTAAGGGCCAAAGCTGGGTCTATGGCTCTGCAGCATCAGGAGTCTGCTACCACCAATGGCCAGGAGTGCATTCCTAGTCTGGGATGCCATCCAGGAACATGTTGAAGTCTGAGGGCTGTGCAGAAATGTCCCCACCCCTTGCCTGGGCATTGTGGGAGAGCTATCCCTGGGGGCATAAAAGCAGGAGAGCTGACCCCACCCCTAGCAGACAGCTTCAGTACTCAGGAGAACACACACACACACACACACACACACACACACTCATTACGTTGCATTTGAGCTAGCCCTAGGATAGGAGTGTGGGAGAGACTAGAGCTACCACTAGTCTCCCTTGCAGTGGCAGGGAAGAGAGAGATACCCTCTCTCCCCTTGCCTCTCATTACCTGCCAGATAGTGGTGCAGATGAGGGAGAGATGCCCTCCTCCCCTTCCTAATCCTTTGCCATCTATGGCAGGTGGGAGAGCTAACCAGGATCACAAGAATGAGAGAACTGGCCATGTCCCTCACCAACTACAACACTGGGAAGAGTGGGCCCTGCACCTCACCTGGGCAGCAGGGTAGAGATGGTGCTGGTTGAGGGGGTTGCTGGTGAGCTGGCCCAGAAGGCGGGAGAGCAGGAAAGCTCAGATACCTCTCAGGCCTACACCAACATCTATCACATCAATGAACTACTAGACTACATGAAGGGGCCAGTCCTATAGATCCAAAATTACAGGCTCTCCATGACACAGGCCAACAACAGAATATCTGAGAGGAATCCCAGTGAGGTTCTAGTATTGATAGAATAGCAGAAGCCAGAGGCCTCGTATCAAACCAATGACTCACTGCAATGAGCATTTGAGAGAAAAGAAGTGTGGACCAAAGGATATACTATGGGACATACTGTTACACACTACAGCTTCCACAACAAGATTTTTTTTCTTGGTTGAGGGGGGAGGTTGCAAGGGTGGAGGGCAGGTGTACGGGGAAGGGGAGATGAATGGGACTGTAGAGCATGATGTGAAATTCACAAAGAATCAATGAAAAGTAAAAAGGACAGAAAGAACAGAAACTCATGGAAATTAAACAACACACTACTGAGTGATAATTGCATAACGAAAAGAATCAGTACCCCAATGTCTCAGAAAAACAACACCAAACCCCCAGCCCAAAGTAGACAGGAATAATCAAAGTAAGTGCTGACATCAAAGAAATAGAAACAATAACAAAAATACAAAGAATCAATTAAAACCGTTGATTATATTAAAACATTAACAAAATTGACAAACTTTTAGCCAAATTAACCAATAAAAAAACAGAAGGGATCCAAATTAAAGAAATCAGGCATGAAAAGGTAGATATCACAATAGATACTAAGGAAATTCAGAGACTCATAGGTATATATTTTATAATCAATATTCAGCCCAAGTGAAAAAAACTAAAAGAAATATATAGATTTGTAGATATATATGCCCTACAAAAGCTAAATCAATATGACAAAAACAAGATTTTAAAAAGCTTTAACCCTCAATGATATAGAAGTGGTAGTTAAAAGTCTCCCAACTATAAAAGCCCATGGAAGATAAATTCAGCACAGAATTCTACCAAAATTTCAAAGAAAAATTAATGCCAATACTCTTAAAATTATTGCACAAAACAGAAAATGAAGGAACATTTCCAAGTTTTTTTGAAGAAGCCAGTATTACTCCTAAACCAAGATCATACAAAGACCAAACAAAAAAAAAAAAAGGAAAATTCTAGACCAGTATCTCTGATGAACATTCAAATATTCTCAATAAAATACTTGTAAACTAGATTCAAGAATGCATCAAAAAGATAACTCACGTTGATCATGATGGCTTCATCTCAGAAGCACAGATGGTTCAAAATAGGGGATTAATAAATGTAACCCATGACATAAGTGGGACATAAAAGACAGAAACCACATGATCATTTCATTAGGCAAAATTTCATTTGACAAAATTCAACATTCAATCACAATTAAAGTTCTAGGGAATCTAGGAATACAGGGAACATATCTCAATATAATAGGCAATATACAGCATGCTCACAGCCAACATCCTGCTAAGTAGAGAAAAATCAAAGCATTTCCCACTAAAATAAGAAATAAGATGAGAAGAAAGTCTACTCTCTCCTTCATAACCAATATTGTACTGGAAGGTTAAGATAAAGCAATAAAAACAAATGAGAATGCTAAGGAAGATACAAACAGGAGAGTCAGAGGCCAATGTGTTCTTTCTTCCAGATAATATGATTCTATAAATGAAAGACCTTAAAGACTTCTGCAGCTAATTAAATGCATTCAGCAAAGTAGCAAGATATAAAATTACACACCAAAAGCAGTAGCCTTCTTATATATGAGTGAGAAACATGTCAAGAAAGAAATCAGGGAAACAATTGCATTCACGGTAGACTCAAAAATATCTTGGAGTCAATCTAATTAGGAAGTAAAAGTCTTGTACAATGAAAACTTTAAGGTATTAAAAAGAAATTTGAAGAAGACACCAGAAGGCGGAAGGCCCTCCCATGCTCATGGATTAGTAGGGTTAGTATTATGAAGTGGTCATCCTACCAAAAGCAATTTGCATATTCAATGCATTCCCTTACCACAACTTTAATGAAATTGGGTAGTTTTAGGATAGCACACACACACACACACACGCACACACACTGCTGAGGGTATATCATCACCCCATATTTCAAGTTATACTAAGCAATCATAATAAAAACAGCATGATACTGGCATAAAAGTAGATTGTTTGACCAATGGAATAGAATTGAGGATTCACACATGAACCCAAAGTCCAACAGACACCTGATTTTTTACAAAGAGGCCAATAATACACATTGGAGAAAAGACAGAATCTTCAACAAAAGATTCTGGTCAAACTGAATAGCTACATGTAGAAGAATGAAACGTGATCCTTATCTGTCAGGGTGAGATGTAAGTCTTTCACAAAACTCGACATGAAATGGATAAAAGAACTCAAGATAAAACCTGGTACCCTGAATCTGATGGATGAGAAATTAGAGAATGTACTTGAGCTCACTGACATAGGAAGGAACTTTCTGGATAGGACTCCAATAGCACAAGCATTAAAAGCAACAAGCAATAAATTGGGATCAAATCAAACTAAAAATCACCTGTATAGCAAAGGATACCATCATCCGAATGAAGAGGTGGCCTACGTGGGAAAATAAATCCTTACCAGCTGCTACACACTGGACAGAGTGTTAGTATCAAAATTAAAAAATCAAGTAAGCAAATCTAACTAAAACATGGAAGATGGAGGCGGGATGGTGGTGGTGGTGGTGGTTGCAATGGCACATATTTTTAATCCCACCAGAGGTAGAGATAGAGGCAAGAAGATCTCTGTGAGTTTTAGACCAGCCTGTTCTACACAGTGAGTTCTGGAACAGCCAGGGTTATAGAGAGGGACCCTTTCTTACAAAAGGGGATGGTGGTGGTGGAATAAAACAGACTTCTCAAAAGGACATTGTACAAATGACTGAGAAACATGTTTAACAGTATTCAGCATCCTTAGCCATCAGGAAATGCTAATTAAAACTATTTTCAGATTTTGTCTTACCCAAATTAAAATGGCTAAGAGCCAAACCAAACCAAAAGCAAAAATCAACAACACAACAAAAAACGCATGCTGACAATGCTAGTGTGAATACAGGGAAACAAGAAACTACATTGCTGGTCATTGTGGCTGGGAATGCAAACTGGTACACCCACCGTGGAAATCAGTGTGAAGCGCCCTGAAAAGGGCAGAAGAAATAGAGCTGTCACATAATTCAGCTGTACCTCTCTTGAGCATATGCCTCCAAATTACTATAGAGATATTTGCTCATCCATGCTCAGTTCTGCTCTATTCACAATAACCAGGAAATGGAAACAGTCTAAACGTCCATCAACTGATGAATGCATAATGAAAATGTGTTACATTTACACAGTGGGATACCATTCAGCTGTTAGGAGAAATTACAAAATTCACAGACAAATGGGTGGAGAGGAAAGCAATCATTCTGAATGAGATAACCAAGACCCATAAATCTTCTCTCCTTTGTGGAAGTTAACTTTAAATCATCAGATACCTGTGTTTCATTTGAAATAGCCACAAAGGTCAAGAAAGTTATTAGGGTGCATGTGGGTCGTTTCGGGAGGGAGACAGAACAAACTGCTATAAAGGCTTAAAGGGCTATAACGGTACAGGAGGGGTTAATGTAGAGGGAAGAGCAGGGAGGATGAGAGCATCTGGGATTGAGTTATAACTAACACTGAAGACATTAAAAAACTCAGGCACATATCTAAAGAGTTTAAACATTACCCCATTGTACTTTGAATATGCTTGGCCCAGGGAGTGGCACAATTAGGAGTGTGAGGCGCGCCAGCAAGAACGCACACGCCACACATATCAA